CACTCTCCCCATTTTCGAGGTCCTTTTCCCCGATTTCGGGGTCGTTTTCCCTGATTTTGGGTTCTTTTCCCCATTTTTGGGGTCGTTTTCCTTGATTTTGGGTTCTTTTCCCCGATTTTGGGACTGTTTTCCCCGATTCCGGGGTCCTTTTCCCCATTTTTGGGGTCCTTTTCCCCGTTTTCGGGGTCCTTTTCCCTGATTTCGGGGTCTTTTTCCCTGATTTTGGGTCCTTTTCCCCGATTTTGGGTTCTTTTCCCCGTTTTTGGGGTTATTTTCCCTGATTTGGGTTCTTTTCCCCGATTTTGGGGTCGTTTTCCCTGATTTTGGGGCCCTTTTCCCTGATTTCGGGGTCGTTTTCCCCGATTTTGGGACTGTTTTCCCCCATTTTTGGGGTCGTTTTCCCCATTTTTGGGGTCATTCTCCCCATTTTTGGGGTCATTTCCCCATTTTTGGGGTCGTTTTCCCTGATTTTGGGGTCCTTTTCCCCGTTTTCGGGGTTCTTTTCCCTGATTTTGGGTTCTTTTCCCCGATTTTGGGACTGTTTTCCCCCATTTTTGGGGTCGTTTTCCCTGATTTTGGGGTCCTTTCCCCCGTTTTCGGAGTCGGTTTCCCTGATTTTGGGTTCTTTTCCCCGATTTTGGGGTCGTTTTCCCTGATTTTGACGTTCTTTTCCCCGTTTTTGGGGTCCTTTTCCCCAATTTCGGGGTCCTTTTCCCTGATTTTGGGGTCGTTTAACCTGATTTTGGGTTCTTTTCCCCGATTTTGGGACTGTTTTCCCCCATTTTTGGGCTCATTCTCCCCATTTTCGGGGTCCTTTTCCCCGTTTTTGGGGTCATTTCCCCATTTTCAGGGTTCTTTTCCCTGATTTCGGGGTCGTTTTCGCTGATTTTGGGTTCTTTTCCCCGTTTTTGGGGTCGTTTTTCCCGATTTTGGGACTGTTTTCCCTGATTTTGGTTCCTTTTCCCTGATTTTGGGTTCTTTTCCCCGATTTTGGGACTGTTTTCCCCCATTTTTGGGGTCACTCTCCCCATTTTCGAGGTCCTTTTCCCCGATTTCGGGGTCGTTTTCCCTGATTTTGGGTTCTTTTCCCCATTTTTGGGGTCGTTTTCCTTGATTTTGGGTTCTTTTCCCCGATTTTGGGACTGTTTTCCCCGATTTCGGGGTCCTTTTCCCCATTTTTGGGTTCTTTTCCCTGATTTTGACGTTCTTTTCCCCGATTTTGGGACTGTTTTCCCCATTTCCGGGGTCCATTTCCCCATTTTTGGGGTCATTTCCCCATTTTTGGGGTAATTTTTCCCGTTTCCGGGGTCCTTTTCCCCATTTTTGGGGTCCTTTTCCCCGTTTTCGGGGTACTTTTCCCTGATTTCGGGGTCTTTTTCCCTGATTTTGGGTCCTTTTCCCCGATTTTGGGTTCTTTTCCCTGATTTTGGGTTCTTTTCCCCGTTTTTGGGGTTATTTTCCCTGATTTGGGTTCTTTTCCCCGATTTTGGGGTCCTTTTCCCTGATTTTGGGGTCGTTTTCCCTGATTTTGGGCTTGTTTTCCCCAATTTTGGGGTCCTTTTCCCTGATTTTGGGGTCCTTTTCCCCAATTTTGGGGTCGTTTTCCCTGATTTTGGGTCCTTTTCCCTGATTTGGGGTTCTTTTCCCCATTTTCGGGGTTCTTTTCCCCATTTTTGGGGTCCTTTTCCCCATTTTTGGGGTCGTTTTCCCTGATTTTGGGTTCTTTTCCCCTTGCAGGTGGGAAATACGTGCCCAGGGCCATCCTGGTGGATCTGGAGCCCGGCACGATGGACTCGGTGCGCTCCGGCCCCTTCGGGCAGATCTTCCGGCCCGACAACTTCGTCTTCGGTGAGTGACGCAACGGGGGACACCGGGGGACACCTGGGGACACCTGGGGGGACATTGGGGACAGCTGGGGACACTGGGGACACCTGGGAACAGCTGAGACACACCTGGGGACACCTGGGGGGACATTGGGGACAGCTGGGGGGACATTGGGGACAGCTGGGGGGCATTGGGGACACCTGAGGGGACATTGGGGACACCTGGGGGGACATTGGGGACACTGGGGATAGCTGGGGGGACACCTGGGGACATCTGGGGACGCCTGGGACAGCTGGTGACATGGCTGGGGACACCTGGGGACACACCTGGGGACAGCTGAGGACAGCTGGCGGGGACATATGGGACAGCTGGGGACACAGCTGGGACAGTTGAGGATACACATGGGACACACCTGAGATACCTGAGGGGACACCTGGGACACACCTGGGGACACACCTGAGATACCTGAGGGGACACCAGGGACACGTTTGGGGATATCAGGACACTTCAAGGATCCTGAGGGACATCTGGGGACATCTGGGACACACCTGAGATACCTGAGGGGACACCTGGGACACACCTGAGATACCTGAGGGGACACCTGGGACACACCTGAGATACCTGAGGACACACAGGGGACACGTCTGGGGACACCTGAAGGATCCTGAGGGACATCTGGGGGCTCCTGGGGGTGTTGGGGACACACCTGGGGATTGTTGAGGGACACACCTGGGGACACTGGGACATGCCTGGGGACAGCTGGGGACATTGAGGACACCTGGGGACACCTGGGGACACCTTGGAGTGTCTGGGGCACACCTAGGGATTGTTGAGGGACACTGGGACAAATCTGGGGACACCTAAGGACATACCTGGGGACATTGGGACACACCTGGGGACACCTGGAGACACCTGGGACACACCTGAGATACCTGAGGGGACAGCTGGGGACACGTCTGGGGATATCTGGAGACACCTGGGACACCTGAAGAATCCTAAGCCTGAGGGGACACCTGGGGACACCTGGGACACACCTGAGATACCTGAGGGGACACCTGGGGACACCTGGGACACACCTGAGATACCTGAGGGGACAGCTGGGGACACACCGGGGACACGTCTGGGGATATCTGGGGACACCTGGGGACACCTGAAGAATCCTAAGGGACATCTGGGGACACCTGGGGGTGTTTGGGACACACCTGGGGATTGTTGAGGGACACCTGGGGACACCCCTAGGGACACTGGGACACACCTGGGGACAGCTGGAGACACATGGGACACACCTGAGATACCTGAGGGGACACCTGGGGACACCTGGGGACACACCTGAGATACCTGAGGACACAGCTGGGGACATTGGGACACACCTGGGGACAGCTGGGGGACACATGGGACACACCTGAGATACCTGAGGGGACACCTGGGACACTTGGGGACACACCTGGGGACACACCTGGGACACTTGGGCATACCTGAGGACATCTTGGACACACCTGGAGATACCTGAGGACACAGCTGGGGACATTGGGACACACCTGAGACACCTGAGGGGACACCTGGGGACAGCTGGGACACCTGGGGACACCTGGGGACAGCTGGGGGGCTCCTTGGGGACACCTGGAGGTACGTGGGACACACCTGGGACACACCTGGGACACACCTGGGGACACCTGGGACACACCTGGGACACACCTGGGGGACACCTGGGGACACCTGGGGACACACCTGGGACAGCAGAGCGCTGGCCTCAAGGGGTGGCAGGGCCCCCAAGGGGAGGGGAAGGTCCCCAGGTGTCCCCAAGGTGGAGCTGAAGGTCCCCAAGGTGGGGTTGAGGGTCCCCAGGTGGGGTTGAGGGTCCCCAGGTGTCCCCAAGGTGGGGTTGGAGGGTCCCAAGGGGGACACAAAGGTTCCCAGGTGTCCCACCAAGGTGGAGATGAGGGTCCTCAGAGTGGGGGGGATGTCCCCAAGGGTGGGGTTCGGGGTCTCCAGGTGTCCCCAAAACGGGATTGAAGATCTCCAAGGTGGGGTTGAGGGTCCCCAGGTGTCCCCAAGGTGGGGTTGAAGGTCCCCAGGTGGGGTTGAAGGTCCTCAAGGTGGGGTTGAAGATCTCCAAGGTGGGGTTGAAGGTCCCCAGGTGTCCCCAGGTGGGGTTGAGGATCCCCAGGTGTCCCCAAAACGGGGTTGAAGATCTCCAAGGTGGGGTTGAAGGTCCCCAGGATGGAGTTGAAGGTCCTCAAGGTGGGGTTGAAGATCTCCAAGGTGGGGTTGAGGGTCCCCAGGTGGGGTTGAGGATCCCCAGGTGTCCCCAAGGTGGGGTTGAGGGTCCCCAGGTGGGGTTGAGGGTCCCCAGGTGTCCCCAGGTGGGGTTGAATGTCCCCAGAATGGAGTTGAAGGTCCTCAAGGTGGGGTTGAAGGTCCCCAGGTGTCCCCAAGGTGGGGTTGAAGGTCCCCAGGTGTCCCCAAAACGGGGTTGAAGATCTCCAAGGTGGGGTTGAGGGTCCCCAGGTGTCCCCAAGGTGGGGTTGAGGGTCCCCAGGTGTCCCCGAGGTGGGGTTGAAGGTCCCCAGGTGGGGTTGAAGGTCCCCAGGTGGGGTTGAGGGTCCCCAGGTGTCCCCAAGGTGGCGTTGAGGGTCCCCAGGATGGAGTTGAAGGTCCTCAAGGTGGGGTTGAAGGTCCCCAGAGGTGATTTGGAGGTCAGGAGAGGTGGTTTGAGCTCTCCAGAAGAGGTTTGAGCATCCCGTCCCCAAGGTCCTCAAGGTTGGGTTGAGGCAATCCAGAGTTGGTTTGAAGGTCCACAAAGATGGTTTGAGGGTCTCCAAAGTCGCTTTGAAGGACCCCAGGGCCCACAAACGTGGTTTGAAGGTCTCCAGAAGTGGTTTGAGCATCCCCAAGGTCCTCGAGGTTGGGTTGAGGGTCTCCAAAGTTGGTTTGAAGGTCCCTGAGGTTCTCCAAGGTGGTTTGAGGTTCTCCAGAGTTTGTTTGAAGGTCCCCAAGGTCCACGGAGGTGGTTTGAAGTTCTTCAAAGGTTGTTTGAAGTTCTTCAAACCTGGTTTGAAGGTCCTCAAAGTTCTCTAAGGTGGTTTGAGGTTCTCCAAATGTGGTTTGAGGGCCTCCAGAGCTTGATTGAAGGTCCCCGAGGTTCTCTAAGGTGGTTTAAGGGTCTCCAAAGTTGGTTTGAAGGTCCCCAGGGTTCTCTTAAGATGGTTTGAGGGTCTCCAGGGTTGCTTTGAAGGTCCACCAGGTTGTCTAAAATGGTTTGAGGGTCTCCAGGGTTGGTTTGAAGGTCCCTGAGATTCTCTTAAGATGGTTTGAGGGTCTCCAGGGTTGGTTCGAAGGTCCCCAAAGTTCTCTGAGGCGGTTTGAGGGTCTCCAAAGTTGGTTTGAAGGTCTCCAAGGCCCACAAATGTGCTTTGAGGTTCTCCAAACGTGGTTTGAAGGTCCCCAAGGTCCACAAAGGTGATTTGAAGTTCTCCAAATGTGGTTCGAGGGTCTCCAGAGTTGGTTTGAAGGTCCCTAAGGTCCACAAAGATGGTTTGAGGGTCTCCAAAGCCCACAAATGTGGTTTAAGGGTTTCCAAAGGTGGTTTGAGGTTCTCCAGATGTGGTTTGAGGGTCTCCAGAGTTGGTTTGAAGGTCCTTGAGGTTCTCTAATGTGGTTTGAGGGTCTCCAGGGTTGGTTTGAAGATCCCCAAGGCCCACAAATGTGGTTTGAGGTTCTCCAAAGGTGGTTTAAGGGTTTCCAAAGGTGGTTTGAGGTTCTCCAGAGTTGGTTTGAAGGTCCCCAAAGTTCTCCAAGGTGGTTTGAGGGTCTCCAAACATGGTTTGAAGGTCCACCAGGTTGTCTAAAATGGTTTGAGGTTCTCCAAAGTTGGTTTGAAGATCCCTGAGGTTCTCCAAGGTGGTTTGAGGGTCTCCAAAGGTGGTTTGAGGTTCTCCAAGGTGGTTTGAAGGTGTCCCTGAGGTTCTCCAAGGTGGTTTGAGGGTCTCCAAAGGTGGTTGGAGGTTCTCCGAGGTGGTTTGAAGGTATCTAAAGTTGGTTTGAAGGTCTCCAGGACCCCAACCCAACCCCTCCGCGTCTCCCCCTCCCAGGCCAAAGCGGCGCCGGCAACAACTGGGCCAAGGGTCACTACACGGAGGGCGCCGAGCTGGTGGACTCGGTGCTGGACGTGGTGCGCAAGGAGGCCGAGAGCTGCGACTGCCTGCAGGGCTTCCAGCTGACCCACTCGCTGGGCGGCGGCACCGGCTCGGGCATGGGCACCCTGCTGATCTCCAAGATCCGCGAGGAGTACCCCGACCGCATCATGAACACCTTCAGCGTGGTGCCGTCGCCCAAGGTGTCGGACACGGTGGTGGAGCCCTACAACGCCACGCTGTCGGTGCACCAGCTGGTGGAGAACACGGACGAGACGTACTGCATCGACAACGAGGCGCTCTACGACATCTGCTTCCGCACCCTCAAGCTGACCACGCCCACCTACGGCGACCTCAACCACCTGGTGTCGGCCACCATGAGCGGCGTCACCACCTGCCTGCGCTTCCCGGGCCAGCTCAACGCCGACCTGCGCAAGCTGGCCGTCAACATGGTGCCCTTCCCGCGGCTGCACTTCTTCATGCCGGGCTTCGCGCCGCTGACGTCGCGGGGCAGCCAGCAGTACCGCGCCCTCACCGTGCCCGAGCTCACCCAGCAGGTGTTCGACGCCAAGAACATGATGGCCGCCTGCGACCCGCGGCACGGCCGCTACCTGACGGTGGCCGCCGTCTTCCGGGGCCGCATGTCCATGAAGGAGGTGGACGAGCAGATGTTGAACGTGCAGAACAAGAACAGCTCGTACTTCGTGGAGTGGATCCCCAACAACGTGAAGACGGCGGTGTGCGACATCCCGCCGCGGGGGCTGAAGATGGCCGTCACCTTCATCGGGAACAGCACGGCCATCCAGGAGCTCTTCAAGAGGATCTCGGAGCAGTTCACGGCCATGTTCCGGCGCAAGGCGTTCCTGCACTGGTACACGGGCGAGGGGATGGACGAGATGGAGTTCACCGAGGCCGAGTCCAACATGAACGACCTGGTCTCCGAGTACCAGCAGTACCAGGACGCCACGGCCGAGGAGGAGGAGGATTTCGGGGAGGAGGCCGAAGAGGAGGCTTGAAGCGGGGGTTGGTTCCTTCAGGTGGTGGTGGTTGGTGGTGGAGCGTCTTCTCCTGCCTCGGGCGTCTTCGTCGTCGTTGTCATCGTCAGTGTTGGCATCGGGCACGGGCGGCAGCGGAGTTCCCATCCCGACCTTCAGCGTTGTCCTTGTGGTCCTCAGCCTTCATCATCATCATCATCCTAAAAGAGTCCTTGACCTTCAACACGTTCCTCAACCTTCACCATCGTCATCCTCAAAAAGTCCCCGACCTTCAGCGTTGTCCTTGTGGTCCTCAACCTTCATCATCGTCATCCTCAAAGAGTCCCCGACCTTCAGCGTTGTCCTTGTGGTCCTCAGCCTTCCTCATCGTCATCCTCAAAGAGTCCTTGACCTTCAACATGTTCCTCAGCCTTCCTCATCGTCATCCTCAAAGAGTCCCCGACCTTCAGCGTTGTCCTTGTGGTCTTCAACCTTCATCATCATCATCCTCAGAGTTCCCTGTCCTCATGGTCCTCAGCCTTCATCATCGTCATCTTCAAAAAGTCCCCGATCTTCAGCGTTGTCCTCAACCTTCATCATCGTCATCTTCAAAGAGTTCCCGGCCTTCAGCGTGGTCCTTGTGGTCCTCAACCTTCATCTTCATCATCCTGGAAGAGTCCCTGATCTTCAGTATTGTCCTCAACCTTCATCATCGTCATCTTCAAAGAATTCCCAGCCTTTGACACGTTCCTCAACCTTCATCGTCATCCTCAAAGAGTCCCCGGCCTTCAGCGTGGTCCTTGTGGTCTTCAATCTTCATCATCCTGGAAGAGTCCTTGATCTCCAGCGTTGTCTTCAACCTTCATCATCGTCGTCTTCAAAGAGTTCCCGATCTTCACTATTGTCCTCAGCCTTCATCGTCGTCATCCTCAAAAAGTCCCCGACCTTCAGCGTTGTCCTCAGCCTTCATCATGGTCATCATGGAAGAGTTTCTGATCTTCAGCGTGGTCCTTGTGGTCCACAACCTTCATCATCGTCCACCTCAGAGTTCCTGATCTTCAGCGTTGTCTTCAACCTTTATCATGGTCATCATGGAAGAGTTTCCGATCTTCAGCGTGGTCCTCGTGGTCCACAACCTTCATCATTGTCCACCTCAAAGAGTCCCTGATCTCCAGCGTTGTCCTCAACCTTCATCATGGTCATCATGGAAGAGTTTCTGATCTTCAGCGTGGTCCTTGTGGTCCTCAACCTTCATCTTCATCATCCTGGAAGAGTCCTTGATCTTCAGCGTTGTCCTCAGCCTTCATCGTGGTCATCATGGAAGAGTTCCTGATCTTCAGCGTGGGCCTTGTGGTCCACAACCTTCATTATCGTCCACCTCAGAGTTCCTGATCTTCAGCGTTGTCTTCAACCTTTATCATGGTCATCATGGAAGAGTTTCCGATCTTCAGCGTGGTCCTCGGGGTCCTCAGCCTTGATCATCTTTGAAGAGTTTCCAACCTTCATCGTTGTTCTTGAGGAGTCACCAGCCTTCATCATCATCATCATCATCATCATGGGGGTGGCCTTTGTGGTCCTTGGAGAGTCTCCAGTCTTGGTCATGGTCAGAGCTGCCAACGTCGTCATCTTCATCATCAAAGGGTTCCTGACGTCGTCATCTTCATCATCAAAGGGTTCCTGATCATCATCATCAGGGTTCCTGATCTTCATCATCATCAAAGAGCTCCTGATCTTCATCATCAAAGGGTTCCTGATCTTCATCATCATCAGAGTTCCTGATCTTCATCATCATCATCAGAGTTCCTGATCTTCATCATCAGAGAGGTCCCGATCTTCATCATCAAAGGGTTCCTGATCTTCATCATCATCAAAGAGCTCTTGATCTTCGTCATCAGAGTTCCTGATCTTCATCATCAAAGGGTTCCTGATCTTCATCATCATCAGAGCTCCTGATCTTCATCATCAAAGGGTTCCTGATCTTCATCATCATCAAAGAGCTCCTGATCTTCATCATCATCAAAGAGCTCCTGATCTTCATCATCGTCAAAGAGGTCTCGATCTTCATCATCAAAGGGTTCCTGATCTTCATCATCATCAGAGATCCCGATCTTCATCGTCACTGAAGGATTCCAAATCTTCATCATTGAAGGGTCTCCAACCATCATCATCCTCAAAGAGTTCCTGATCTTCTTCATCATCATCAAAGAGGTCCCAATCTTCATCATGATCAAAGAGTCTCCAGCCTTCATCATCACCAGAAAGGGTCTCCAACCTTCATCATCATCGAAGAGCTCCCAGCCTTCATCATCACCAGAAAGGGTCTCCAACCTTCATCATCCTCGGAGAGTCCCCAGAGTTCATCATTGTCCTCTGAAGGTTTCCGGCCTTCATCCTCCTCCTCCTCCTCCTCCTCCTCCAGGAGCTCCTGGCCTTCGTCGCAGTCATTGGGGTCTCTGATCTTTGTCATCCTCAGCCCTTGGTGTCCATCCAGTTGGCTGTGACCTTCATCATCATCATCATCATCCTCATGGTGGAGGAGGCTTCGAGAGGTTCTGACCTTCGGTCTCGCTGTGGGAGAGTTGCTGACCTTCATCATCCTCATCATGGAGGAGCTCTTGGACCTTCATCATCCTCATCATGGAAGAACCTCTGGACCTTCATCATGGAGGAGCTCTTGGACCTTCATCATCCTCACCATGGAAGAACCTTTGGACCTTCATCATCCTCACCATGGAAGAACCCTTGGACCTTCATCATGGAGGAGCTCTTGGACCTTCATCATCCTCATCATGGAGGAGCTCTTGGACCTTCATCCTCACCATGGAAGAAGAACCCATGGACCTTCACCATGGAAGATCTCCTAGACCTTCATCATCCTCACCATGGAAGATCTCCTGGACCTTCATCATGGAAGAACTCTTAGACCTTTGTCATCTTCACTATGGAAGAACCTCTGGACCTTCATCATCCTCATCATGGAGGAGCTCTTGGATCTTCATCATCCTCATCATGGAAGAACCTCTGGACCTTCATCATCCTCATCATGGAGGAGCTCTTGGACCTTCATCACCCTCACCATGGAAGAACCTCTGGACCTTCATCATGGAAGAACTTAGACCTTTGTCATCTTCACTATGGAAGAGTGCTTGGATCTTCATCATCCTCATCATGGAAGAACCTCTGAACCTTCATCATCCTCATCACGGAGGAGCTCTTGGATCTTCATCATCCTCATCATGGAAGAAGAACCCTTGGACCTTCATCATCCTCACCATGGTAGAAGAACCCTTGGACCTTCATCATCATCATCATGGAAGAACCTTCATCA